TTTGAGATATCAAAAAAGTACTCCAGAGTGTTGTTCAGCATGGGGGTGAGTAGAAAATGAAGGCTAATCATGTTTTGGGTGTACTATTCCTTTAAATAGAGAGAAGTGGAAATGCATGCACGCAACATGGCTGCTGAATGCACTTATGAATTGGCCCAAACAAACTATCAGCCGGTCGATGTATTGGTTTATCAACAGTCCTTACCTCAGACCATTTTTATATACTTTCTGTTCAACTCTCCCCTATGGAAACCGTGCACAAATTAAAGTTTTTTACAAGATTAATTTTCAGTTTGTAACAAGCCTTATAAGGAACACAGTAAAAATGTGGAAGAAGCTGCATTTGTTACATGAAATCACATTTAATTCATTACATTTACATGTTGAAACATGGTGGTGGCAGCGTAATACTCTGGGAATTTTTTCTTTAGCAGGGACAGGAAAGCTGGTAAGAGTTAATGGAAGGATGGGTGAAAAAAAGGTCATCTAAGAGGAAATAGACACTTGAAATAAAACATACGACCAAATTATAATAAAAAGGCTTGAGTAAAAATATTGACGTGTTAGAATGACTCAGTTAAAAGTACAGACCTCTGAATCCTATTGCCACAAGGGATCAAACTATTTAAATGCTCCTCTTTAGTATGAAGGTACTATTTTGATCGAATTAGTCTATAGGTCATAAAATACTTGGAAGTTTGGCAATGTCTGAAAAAGAAAGTTCAATAATTTTATAAAACATTTTCAAAGTGAAAAAAATGGCTTCACGATCCATGAAGTTGTTCTACAGTTGCACACTCACTGTAATCTGTGAACCAGCAGGAATCCCCAGTGAGGCTCTCCACTTCATGATGCTCCCTGTGCAGCTGTTTTGGTGTTTGCTAATGTGCTCATTACTGTTCTGCTGAGCTGATTATCATCTGAAGTAAATGAGTGCAAGTTCTCTAATGCAGTGCAGGTGTTCTTTTTGTCGGTGTTCTCTCTCTGCATGATAAATCAAATCAATTGTTTTCTCTCTTTCTCACCAGCTTCCTTCTAAATGATAAGTTGTTCCTCTTTTGCTAATTTGAACTTCTTTTCTCCTCCTGCCTCAGCAGCTCACACCAGTCTGACCACAGCCGAGTACTACCACCAGATGGCTCTGCTGGCGGGCCACCGCAGCCCGTATACCACAGACCTTCTCCCGACTGTGGCGTCTCCAGCCGGGGCGAGCAGCGCCAGTGCCCTGCACATGGAGTACCTGCAGGCTATGGAGAGTAAGTCTGCACTGACCTTAGACTGTGTTTGGATACGAATACTCCAAGAGCGGAGGAGGAGGCTAGGCCTCTAATAAAGTTCTTTTGAACTTGGTTTGAACTTGATGAATAATTTGTCTGCTTCTAAGAAATCTTTCTTTAGACTTTGGCCATTTCCCTCTGAAATATGAACCATTCAGGTATAAAACTAGTGCTGAAAACTTAGCAAAAGGTCAGACAAGATCAATTTAGAGAGGTTCAGAAAGTCGGACAAGCAATTAGTCAACTCCCCTAGAAAGGAATGGAAGAAAATTGGACTTGTTCAAAGCAAAATATAAATAAAACAGAGATTTTGAGATATATATATGTTTCATTGATTAAGATTATTCTGTAAGAGAGTTATCATTGCTCTTAAAACCATGTATCTGAAATATCAACTTTTATAGAACTTTATTAAAAAAATATATTTCTTCAGCTTTTTGCCCAAAACATCTTTTTGCATTGTGGAAAGGTAAACTCAGACTTTTGTCCAGTGTCTTCTGCTATTTACATCTAGTCAGGTAGCTATGCTTTGGTAGTCAAGATCATCACTAATTTAGATGCATCTCTTTTCAATTCGATTTTAGAAAGTGGCTGAGATTGGACTGAAATTATTAAATATTTGTCAGTTAATAAAATCTTTTTACAAATTTAGATATATTTAAAGAAAAAAAAAACTTGAGTGGGTTTTTCTTCTCCCATTAAATAATTGTAATCTAATTAATAAAGTTGGAGCAACGCTGATACATAGTAAGTGGAAGAATAGGGTCCAAGGAACCTTTGACAAAGGTTTCACATGTTCTCCCCTTGCATAAAATTTGGATCGTTCCAGGCCAAGAGTGACATAAAACTTTTGCAATATTATAGCCTTTTACTATAGATATTCCTGAATTGTTAAATACCAATTGATGCAAAAGACGAAACACATCCATCCCTGCCGAGTTCTCATCTTTCCATCTTATGAGTGCAAAACATCTCAGTAAAGTGTGGGTGGCCCCCTGCGGGAATTCAACCCTCACAAGTGCGCTGTCATGTATATACGTAGACCCAGGTACGCCTCTGCAGCATTGAGGAGAATTCTGGGACTTTACTTTGACGTGATTTAAATAAGCCATTGTCTTAATGTGGCGGGCTCAGGACTGTGCGCAAAGGACTTATGCTAATGAGTTATTTTAAAGTGTAAATAGGAAATTAAAAGCACACTGAATCTTAGGAAGGTCAGACAGCCTCACCCCGCTCCCTTTGATGGGAACGTATTTAGTCAGACACACTCTGCTTTCATGGAAATCCGGGGTGAACTTCCCCCTGCTCTTCCTCCGAACAAACTAATTAAAACTAGCCAAACTTGTGCGGGTATCAGAAAATTAATTGCTATTAAGTGGGAATTGGAATGTCCCACCATTCATCACTGGGAGGAAATCCTTTCTTCTGTGTCACTTTTTAAAGATTAATAGACTAAAACAAAACAATTAAGGCCACATTTAAGTGGAGATGCGTGGCTCCTCACTATAAGGGGGAAAAAAATTGCCTGTGATCATTGCTGGTAATAACTCATCACGTTCAGGCGATGTGTGTTCCTGCGCCAGGGAAAAAAAATTAACACTTTAAAGCTTTGGCGGATTTTGGAAAGCGGGAAGTCTATCAAGAGGCTTTCGCTGATAATCTGGGCTACCATGAAGCTATTTTAGTCTATTCCAGATGAGTGTAATTACCTTCAGAGCGAGTTCTGCTAATGAAACAATAGGCCTGTCCTGCCTATTTGTGCTTTAATGGTCTATTGTCTCCGTTAGTACTGCCTAATTAGCATCATAGCTCTCATAGATCACTCTGACTGAGGTATACGCTGCACTATAATGTGTGTTTGGTGCTTCTATTAACAATCTATGTGCTGTTTTTTCAGTTAATAGAAAACTGTTTGCATAAACAGGTTAACTTTAGGGTTTAAATGCTGCTGCTGCTTTATTTAGACAAAAAACATGTAAAAACATAATAGCATTAAAACTATAAACAAACCTAATCTACGATGTTAAAGCTGTTTTTATGAATTATTCATAAGGTAGAAACATTTCCTTTTATAGTTTATTAGTCTATAACTACGTTAAAGAGCTACATACAATTTGATTTAATAGAAAACTTGAATTGGCAAAAAAAAAAAATAATAAAACCAATGAAATGTCTTTTAAAGTTCCTTTTTCTCATCATCTTAACAGATTCTCCAATAACTAAAAACAATTAAATTATTGATTTAATTGTTTTTATGAGTGCAAGGTTTAACCTTGCACTCATAAAAACAATTGGATGGCAAATAAACAAAAAAGAGAAAATCACAACTTAAATAAAGGGAGCTAAAAGGAAAAAAAATATCACCAGTACCCTCTAAAGACCTAAACATGATAAAACTGACACTGGTGTTTAGTTTTAAGTCATCACTTATCTTTCAAGGCAAAAAAGTCCCAGATATGATTAATATCTCAGAAAAAAATATCTTAAATCATGCTACTGCGATTTTAAAACCATAAGAAAGTGAGATTTACTAAACTCCAAAAAAACTAAAACTTTTCTAATGTTAATTCTTTATTGTTATGACAACTTTGGAAAGCTTCAACAGTCAATATGACAATAAACTTTTGGCAAGAGTTAGAAAATAGGTATGCAGAGCAAAAAATATCACCTTCCATTTATAATAAACTACTTGCTTAAATAAAAAAGTAAAACGGCAGAAGGTTTTCATAGTTGAAAAATCACACTTTTTGACTTTATCGAAGTTCAATAGAAACTTCTCCTTAGATTAATAATAAAATCGTATTAAATTGCCTTTCCAGGCTTCCGTAGTCTGCTTATTTTGAGCTGAATTAACAAAAAAAAAAAAAGAAAATTCCCTTTTGGTACAAGTGTTCTTTCTGTTAAGACATTGCTTCTTACAGGACTAGAACCTTGTTGATTTTTTTAAACAATAGTCATTGTACTTTGCTTCCATCTCCATGATCCATTTTTACACTCCACAAAGTAGAATGTATTTGTTATAGTCCCTCATCCCACTCCCAGGTGGGTCGCTGAGAGTTCAACCCCAGTTTTGGAACCAACTTTTATTTCCACCGCCGTCAGTCTGGCCCATCCGAAAACCTCCCCGGCCACTCGAAATTAATGACGCGACGAGTAACCAGCCATCCCGTCCATAAATCAAGAGGAAATTAGAGGGACAGTCCTGCTCTGAGCCAGGACGCTTCCTTCTCTTTCTCCCCGGTTGGCCGATTTATCATTTGGGCTGTGCATTAATAAACACTGGTCCCATGAGGCTTTGCAGGCCCCCTTCTCCTAAGCAAGGCTCTCTGTCTCTCTCTCCACCAACCTCCAGTTTTCCACAAGTGGATGCAGCTTGCTTAACGTGTCAGATTTGTCTAAATCAAATGTATAAACAGAGTTTTTTGAAGGGGGAATAGATATCTAGTTTCAGTTGTTGAATGGGTGAAAACAAGCAAAAAAAAACCTGTCAAGGGATCCCATGTGACAAACTACATTGTGTTCTCTCATAGGCTAGATCCTTCATACATACAATAAAATGTACAGACAGTGTTGCTTTCCATAAAGCCCCAATGCCTTAGATGCAGCTCAGGCCTTTGCATGCCAGAATGCCACCTCACACACACACAAGCACAACAACACACTCTCTGATTACCATGTGAAAGGAGCGCTCCGTAATCGCTGAATGTGTCAAACCAGAGATAGAGCATTTACGTTTTAGGGAGATGGATGGATTGAGGGGGTAGTAAATATGAAAGAGGGGGGTTATTGGTTTTGTTTGCCTTTATGAAATAACTCGAAATGTTTTATTTCCTAGTCTTGAGTCACAAAGTCATTGTGTCAGTTGAGGCACAAAGCGCGACATCCCCTGAGCGCTGCCTTTTTGTCCCCTCCTTCCATTTTTTTTCTCTCTCTCTCTGTCTTGTTTTGTGACATCTTAGTGTGAAAAGACAACAAAAGTCATGTTTTAATCTCTCCCCGTGGCTCATTGTGTGCGCAGAGAGAATGGTTGCGTCGTTTCCGCCTTTTACCTTTTCAAACCCCTCTTTGGTATTTCCAGTCAACACTGACTGCAAATGAATAACGAGTCAAATTGGACTTGATGAAATATTACCATACACAGTCAGAGCATTTCTCCAACATAAAAGACATGTTTTCTCTTGGATGAAATGCAAGCAGTGCATCAAGTGACAGCTGAACACTCATTGAGATGGGCCTTTTGTCTGATGATTGACAAAAATGTCATCTGTTAGGGTTTGATTAGGTTAGAGTTTAAACAGAAATTCATGTGTGAACCGTCAAATGCTCTTTTTGATTGGTGTTTTTAGGATCTAGCTGATTCTCTTACCCTGAAACATCTGATAAGAGCTGGAAAACAGGGGTAAACTGAGAGCTTTAAGCAGTTTGTTCAGTTCTATCTCTGTCCTTGTCCTCTAGATTCCCGTTTCCCAAGCCCTAGACTTCCAGCACGACCCAACAGGAAGCGACCCCTGACCATCTCACCACTCTCCGAGCACAGCCTCGACCTACAGACCATGATCCGCAACTCTCCAAACGCCATAGTAACCACACTGATGAACAGCTCCCGCTCCAGCTCCTCCACCAGCGGCTCCTACGGTCATCTCTCCGCCAGAGCAATCAGGTAACAGACTGGAAAAAATAGGAATGAACCATTTCAGACATTGGAAGATTATTTTTAAAAAAGATTGTGAAAGTCAGAAGCCAGAGCAAGAAAGCAATTGGATAACATTGGCCTAATTACATCTTTAGATTAAGGCTGTTTTTTTTTTGTTTTTTTTACACTGTAATGGACGGAAATCTATGTTTGACTTGTCAAGTTACTTCCCCTCCTGTCACTTATGATCTCCAAAACTAGTTCTAATTGATAGATATCTGAAAAATTAAGGAAATGTTTTTTTTTTTTTTACTTTTTTCTCTAAAGTCAAAAGTTAACATACTTTAGAATAGTTCATCTATAGATAAACTGGAATTTTGGGAAAAAACTCAAATTCAATGCACCTTTTGTGACTGAGGAAATGTTCAACCAGTTTATTAGAGACTTGAGAAAAACCCCTAAATGCAAGGAGGCGCATCATTTTATTCAGATCAGATATATGCAGGTATATAAAGACCACATGAATGTCCAGCCACCAATAGACAGGCTGTGTCTTATAGATTGATGTGTCTTGATTTTAATTTGGTGCATCAATTATAAAACAAAGCCAAAAACTTTTGAGGGTCATTGTCCACTGTGGAAAGAGTCCTGTATCTATGTGGGCTGCGATTCCACTCAGTGCAGAAGAATCCATTACACCCAAATGACATTAAGAAAAGGCAGATTACAGGTGGCAAATGAAACCAGGAAAAAACAGATCTTTAGAGATGCATGCTGTTATCAGAATGAGTAACGACTGAAGTGTTTTTACTGTAATAAGCATAGATACAAAATACAACAGTGGAAACATTGTTGTTTTGGGGTTTCCTTTAGTATTAAATTGTACACTTTTATAAATTATAAAAAAACATTAGGAAGGAAAACCTAAAATATTAAGACAATATCTCAAATAATTAGACCTTGGAGTTCAGCCTGAATGAGTTAAGGCTTCAAATTACTTAACAAAGGCAATATTTTTGTGAGGCCATTATAAAACCTTGATCTCAATTCCATAGAATATTAGTATATAGATGTGGAAATATGCATGAGCAGGGTTGACCTGATGGGGCCAAAATGCGCCTTAACTTCAGCAGAAGTTAAGGTCTTAACTTCGAAAGAGGATCCTGAAAAGTAGCCATTTAGTTTAAATAGTATTCTTCAAATTAAGTGCACAACTTTCTGAATTTGAAGAAAGTGAAACCTAATAGATGCTGGTGAAGAGTCTCAGTCATTCGGGTCATAGTAATTCTAAAAAAGTAAAAAAAAAAAAAACTAAAAAAAAAAACAATCTAGTGGACTTTGTTTTCCAAGTTTGAAGATGTTTCACTTCCCATCCAGGAAGCTTTTTCCATTCAAAATGTCAGAATTAGCGTTGAGTTTAATGCTTTATAGAGTAGACCAACAAAGCCTTGTGTTGGCTTAGAAAACATGCAAATTGAACCGGAAGAACAGGTCGCCTCCTTAGTAATGGGGAGTTGTTGAGGTCAATGTTAGCCTACAATACCCGATACTGGCCTATGCCTCTGAAAAGGGATGTCGTTAGGGGCATTGTTGTCCTGGCTGACCAGGTGAGATGTCTTGGTCCCCTGCATGGCGATGAGAATTATGATAGCGACAAGGAATCAACTCTATCGCTACATTGTTGGTTTTTGGGAGCTGAAACCTGAGTCTGCCCCCTCTTACTTTCCTAGCTTTACTCTATAAAGCTTAGAACTCAATGCTAATCCAGACATTTTGAATTGAAAAAGCTTCCTGGATGGAAAGCGAAACGTCTTCAAACTTGGAAACAAAGTCCTGTGGTTTTTTTTTAAACTTTTTTGGAAAATGTAATAGATACCTTTTTTACACTAATTGTTTGCTTTAGCAAGTAAAAAATGTTTATCTAATCCAGATTGAGCTTTAACAGCAAAGTTTCTCCTATCAGCTGTTAATGGTGACATTAACTTTTTACCAAATAACAAAAAACACATTAATCCTCCTCGTATGTTTATCATTGCAGCAGAAAGGAAAGTGTTTGTTTCCTTTTGTATAGCATAATACTTTGGGCATTTGGAACAAATGAGTGGTAGTGTGTGCTTTCGTGTCAAACCCTGATTGCGTGGGTGACGATCTCCCAGCCAGCCAGTCGGCCAGCTTCCCAGGCGGCTTGTGTCAGTCATGCAGCACATCTTGGGGAAACATCACATACATCATGCGCCGGTACCGGAAGAGAGGCAAAGCAAAGCAGAAGAAAAGTGAGGAAAAAGGAAAGATCTATTGCCCTACCCTCAGCCATTGATCAGCAATCTGTAAAAGGGACCTGATCAATCATGCTCCACGCTCAGCCACTGTCCCCATGACAGGATCCAAATAGCCAGAGCCAACAGACTGATGAGTGATATGACAAGCGGATGGGCCTCCAAATGTGTCTCAGCCCATTGATTTCCACTCGGCTCATAATAAGATCAGCAGACATATGGGTCGTGGGTAGAGCAAATTGTCAGCGTGCAGAATGAATGAAGCCAAGCCACACAGATCCGTGTTTATCTGCGGTTTAACGATTGATACACAGAGGAGGCTTCTGGGATTTTTATGATAAACAAAGTTAGCGGAGTTTAGCAGATTAATATACTGCCTTTCATAATTACAGGTGCCCCTTGAAAATGTCTCGTTTTGTCACAATACAACACCTCAGTGCCTTTAAACAGGATTTTAGGTGACCAATCAGTGCAAAGCAATTAAAAATGAAACAGGAGGAAAATAATGAGTTTTCTTTAAATAATTTTGTTAAACATTATAACGCATTTTTATATAACCCTCTCATGTGTCCATAATAATTAGCTTGACACGTTTACATAGTCTGTGGACACAGCTAAACATGGAGATGACAATTGCCCTTAAGAATTGGAGTTTACACCTGGTTTACACCACAGGATAAAGTATTTTAATGTGTTAGAAAGGCCCAGTTAGTGGTCAGACTTAGATCTGAATAAACAAAGCTGTTGCAGGACTTACAGAGGGTTGGTAACAGTAGAAAACCCAGATAATTGAGATTTTATTAAAAAAAAAGAAAAAAAACCTTTGCAATTCTACATGACTTTGTGTTGACATAAAGTTGTTATAAAAATGTTACAGTTTATCAATTGAATGTAACAAAATGTAGAAAAGGTTTAAGAAGAGTAAACATTTTTTAAGGTTGTCTAAGCTCAGGAAAGAGAAAGTTGCAACTTTAACATGCCTCTAAAACAGATTAACAGAGGTTTATTGTTTTATTTTTGCCCAGTGGATGAATGATACTGTCCTACACAAACCGCTTGATAATTCACTGTGTTAACAAGCTTTAATTCCCAGCAGCCCCCCTGGTTCCAGCATTACTGCACAATCTCATGTCAGATTGCCCTCTAGGGATGAGAAGTTATCCAGAACAATCCCTTTATACCTTGAACTTGGTTTCTTTGCTTCTTCGCTTCAGTAATTGATGTTTGAAGTATTGCTTCGGCATATAGTTGTTTTACTCTGTCTCTGCTGTCTCCAGTCCGGCATTGAGCTTTGCCTACCCTCCAACTCCTGTGGCATTACATGTCCACCATCAGCTGATGGGCCGCCAGCCAGGGATCGTGGGCTCCGCCTTCGGCCACAGCCCGCCGTTAGTCCACCCGACGCCGCCCTTTGCCACACAGCGGCCCGTACCTGTTATCCCTCCTCCTGGGCTGGGCTCCAATGAACGCTCGGCCGTCTCCAACGACTCGTCACAGGTGAGGACAGTGGCCTCTGTGATTCATCATCACACGTTAATAGCAGCGCCGCATGCCAGCCGAGGATCAGCCAAGCTAACACGGGTACCGGCAGGACCCCACCCCCTCAATGCTCTCCTCTCCTGGGACTTTCATTCTTCCTACTCATGTTGTTTCTTGTTTTTAGCCCGCCGTGCACACAGCCAGAACGTGCCTGCAGCAAACAACCAGGGGCTTGTTAGCATAGAATCCCTCTGCTGAATCCATTAATCACTGAAGAGAGAACAAGGATGTGGAGAGGGGGAATATTGACATGGATGGATGGATCCAAAGGGGTTTTTCCCCCTATTTTTTTTCTCAACCCTTACGTTATGTGCGGGCCCGCTCTTCAAGTAAATATTCAGTGGTTATCAGCCGTCCTTTCTCTGTTCTCCTAAACATTTCATTTTCCAGTGATCAAAAATGAAACAATCAAACTGTCAATGTTTGTTTAATAAGTCAATCAAACTTTCCACATTTTCCTATTGGTTTCTCCCATGTGAACAGCTTCAAATTTTAGCTAAGCATAAAGGTGCAGATATCTGAGTTGTTTTTTTCCTTTCTACAAAACTCACTCTTCTCAAGAATAAAATAAACAAAAGTAATACCACCTTCTAGATATCTTACTTTTATACATTTAATATGAAACCAACCCCTCAGCATAATGCTGCTACCACTGTGCTTGATAGTATTTCTAGATTTGAAAGACTTACTTTGACTTTCCAAACATGCTTCTTGTCACTGTGGACAACTGGCTAAAAAATTAAACATATTTTTAGGGGTTCCACTTGACTTTAGGTAAAGCAAATGAATAATACTATTAATAAAAACCTATATTGCTACATAAAAACCTAAAAAAATATTTAGATTAATCCGAAAGATATTTGGCTTTTCTATATGAGCAGCTACAGATTTAAGCTGAGATCAAATTAGTTGATGTCAGAGTAAGTTCTTTTGTTTTTGCACAGAAATGAACAGCAAATCCAGCTCAAATGTGAGCGATATTGGAAAGACTAAACAGATGAGGAGTCTTGTGAAAACCCCAGTGTTATCAAGAGCTAAACTACTGATCTCCCTTTCTAGACAGCAGAAAGTTTGGTGTCATTTTCTTAGGGACAAGGCATTCACCTGCATGCTTAATATTTGGGACAATGTTCCTACGTCTAAAAAGCCTCACCCTGACTCCCCTTACTAGACTTATGTGCTTGTGCAGGTGAGCTGCTGCAGATATCAGTCCGGCTTAAAGGTGCAGGTAGTGGAGCGGGAGCTTTTTTCTCGTCTCTAAACGAAATATTAAACTCGAGTCAAAAATGTGTCATGTTGAAGACATAAAACAGCAGTAGGGTCAAGTCTCCCAGCATTCTTTGGAACAAAATAGACAAAACTCCTCTCGTTTTCCAGATGTTTAAAAGTTCAGTGTTAATTCTTCTACTCTCAAAAAGCTTATTGTATTACATGAATCCCCCAGAGGCATATTCAGGCCAGGGCCAAAGCCAGGTCATTCATTGGTGAAATTGGTTCATAAGATTGCTTTAATTGCAATGATTATAGAAGCTAATATGATACACTGAATATCATTGTTCTTCGCCTGCTCCACTAAAAGCTTCAGTTGCAGATATCATTACGACTCAACCCCACCAGTTTTGTCTTGTTGATTAAGTAAATAATTGGATTTGCTTATAAGCATCACATGCATTTTTAATGTTCCCATGAAGCGTAAAACTATTTAAATACTTAGCAGTATGCAATTAGGGGGTCAAATGATAAAGTTGGACATTTTGGGGTCTTTTTTTTCTCCAAAGGCCAAACCGACAAGCGAATCCGCTGTGAGCAGCACAGGCGACCCAATGCATCACAAACGGTCCAAAATGAAGCCGGAGGATGAGCTGCCGAGTCCAGGAGCGGTGAGCGTGCAGGTGGGTTCTGTCCACTGAAGTACATTTCTGAAACTTTAATATGGAATGAATGTAAATAAAACATGAATAAAATGGACCACATTTTAATTTGTATAATTTGAATAAAAATTTATTTATCTTTCGTTATTGGCTCCACTGTCATTGTTTAATCATTCATCCAGAACAGAACACCCAGATCAGCGTTTCTTTAAGTTCTGGGTTGTCCAATGTGTGCAAATTATTTAATGCTGA